AGCAGCGAAACGCCGCGATAATTATCGCAGATCTTCTTATCGCCTTTGTTTTTATATAACCGTATTAGAATTGCCGAACTCCAGTCCTCCACCATTTGTTCATTCTTCCAAATATCGACAATATGTCGTGCAGCCATCTAATCACCGGCATTCCACCTGCTTTCAATAATTCAACTGTTATATCATCTTTGCCTGGTGCTTTTCTATTTTTCATTTGTTTCAAAGCTTGCTGCATCACATCTAACGTTGGCTCTTTGTCTTGGCGATGTCGTTCCATTGTTGACAAAGATGTTGATTTGATCTGATCTAATAATATTGGGGCAATAATAGCGTTCACATTTAGTAGTTCCGAATAGAATTCTTTCCAACTTTCCAGCCTGGCTTTAGAGTTGACAAGTAAAATTCCATTTTTGTTGTGTATTGGCATATTTTCCACTTTTTGTCTTCTACCTTTTTAGTCATCTAATTATTGCATATGCTGTTGCTGGATCATGTTGTTTAATAGTATTTTCAATCTCCATACCGAGTTCATCCCAATATTCAATCTGTTCTTTATCAATCAGTGTTTTTACCATTTTTCTCTCTGTGACATATTTCTTTCGGTATTTCTATTCCATTATAGATCCACGATGTTGTTGCCACTTGAGATATGTTGTTGATTTCTTTGAGAGATTGTACCAATGTTGCATATTTTTCATTAACATTAATACCATCATCTTTTGTTTCCTCGAACTTTTTCGATATGTGCTTTCGAAAATTCTCCACAACATGGTCATTATTTAATTTTGTACGATCCAGTCGAAACCGATTGCGCTGTTTATTGTCCTATCTTAATTTCAAATGTAATTTAATTTTAGATCTCATGAGATGATGATCTGTACCGATAATTCCACTTGCTTTTCTATAAAACCGTACATCTTCTACACTTGATCTAAATTTCCTGTTTATCAATATATAATCTATCAAATGCCACTTTTTCGTTCTAGGGTGTATCCATGACGTTTGATGCACTGACTTGTGTTGGAAGAATGAGTTCGATATGACCAGATTGTTTGTGGTGCAGAAATCAACTAACCTTCCACCGTTTTCATTTTGCACATCCACCACAAATGATCCAACAGTGCGAAATGCCGTAGGATGCTGAGGTTGACTGACACGTGCGTTAAAATCACCCATTAATACAATCATATCTTTTTTCGATATTCCATCCATTGTCTCTTGTAAATCCGTATAAAATTTGTCACTGTTATCAGCCATTGTTTTGTTTGATGGATTAACTGGTGCATACATGGTGATAATGGTGATATTAATTGGTGTACATTTCAATCTAACTTTGATAATTCTCTCGTTGATAGCTTGCCATTCTGAACCCGACTGTTTTCAGTGGTTTGTAGCCCTTTTATCCAGTAAAATCGCCACTCCATGAGTTGATCGTGTTTTATTGACACTTGGAAGACCAGAATATAATAATGTATAGTTTCCAATTGATTTCGTTTCTGAGTGATAAATTGCTGTGTCACATAATGCTGCTATTTGAATATTGTATTTTGTAATTGTTTTATGATGAATTGTTGTTTTTAATAGTGAAAGCATAATCGAACATTCTATCCACCAAAAAACACCGATTTTTGTGCGTTCACACACTTGTTTAACGTCTTTTCGTTAGAAATTAATGTTTAATGTCCAATTGACAGGTTGCTAGACTAAAAACCAGACGCTTGGCTACCGGCAGCTCGCGGTCGACTTCTGCTTCTGTCGAAACATTTGCAGGCCCCTGTAGAACTCCGAAAACTCCACTGACAAGCTAGCTAGATGATGAGTCTGATGAGTTAGTAGATGACCAAGATGAAGAATCGGATGATGGAGAACGTGAGCCAGTAGTTGAGTTTGAACGACTAAAATTGTAAATCAAGAAAAACAAACATTTTTATTCATTTTCTATAAGGCAATGCTTACGCAAACAAATGTGCACCACTAACATTGTTATTCTTATTAAATATTTTTTTGGTTACTTGCGAACGTGGACGACGGCTAGACGTAGGATGTGAACTCTTAGAATTTGATAATGTAACTACATCTGTTGCTGCTGCAGCTAGAGTTCCACTACGCGTCATCATCATCATATCAATATCTAAAATTAAAGTGAGTATAAATATAAAAACGATAAACACATCCTTTCATTTAACTTCTACTAGGTGGGTAAAAATATTATTCTAGAGGGGGTAACGCTATGATTTCAAATAGCAATCATAACAAATTTTATACAAAATTAAAGCGCGTCAAAAACGGGATTTAGCAGTACTAAATGGTAAGGGATATGAAAACTTTTCCATGTTCAACTGAACCAATTTTTGAAATATAATGGCGATACTCTGTAAATAATGAATCATTTGACCAGAATGGAATTGTTTTCCCTACATATATCCGTCGATTTATCGGTGTTATAAGGATTCGACGTGCTTCAAAGCTGAAACTACGATTATTTTTTTGCTTTCTATTGTTTTTTATCTCTCTGAAATGTGAATAACGATGTATTGGAATTATACTAGAAAAGATAAAACAGTGCACATTTATATTCTTCTAAGTGACTTGCTCATTCGCACTCATTTTTCGTTTCTGTTCTTTCACATAGTATTAATGTTATAGAAGAAAAATAATTTTCTTTCTTTTTCCAAGAAAAATGACTCATGATAGCAGTTAGTCAACATTATTTTTTCTCATTCCTATTTTATCTTAGAAATTTCTCGAAAAAGAATTATAAATGTTCGGAAGATCTTATATAAAGTTATTAGTGATAGACAAACTTTATAAATAGAAAAAATATACCAAATTGATTGATCAGTTAAATTTATTAATTGAGAATGGCCGGTACTTACGACAACAAAGGGCAAAGAATGGTCGATAGAATTAAATGCATCGCTTTTCGTGAAGCTCGCGATAAGGGTGCAACATTTATTAATCGACAATGGATTGCACAGAAAACTCATCGAACTACTCAATTTGTTACTGAGTGGTGGGAGAAATCATATGATGAATGTTTTGCTGATTATTCGAAATCTGGTCGTAAACTGAAATTATCAGAAGCGAGTAGAAATATCATTCTGGACGCCAGTGGCAAACAAGGGAAAAGCTCTTATATTGTGGCGAAAAAATTGCAGAAAAGCAAAACGAATATGTTGTTCGAAAAACCATCGATAATTATCGTTCCAGAGAAGAACTAAAGCCTTTTCATGTTATTCCAAAATCGTTAAAAGCAGAAACTCATATTTCTAATCGATTGTGGTTCTGCGATTGGTTAAAAGACTGGACTAAAGAAGACTTTTTACACCTTGCGCCATCAGATGAATTTTATGTCTAGATCGTTCACAGACCAAATTATCAAAATGATCGAGTCTGGGCAAAAAGTATTGAAGATATAGAAGACGATGAAAGATATCGTGCAATGGTTAAAAATCAAGTGTGTAATGAGATTTTTGTGATTTTTACTGCCAAAAAGTTACATTGGGTTATCAAAGACAAAGGTGAATCTTGGACGGACCAATATTTTCGTGATACAATTCTAATGCAACATGTGATACCATTTCTAAAAAATGAAGAAAATGTTATCGATCCGGATAAAGTGATATTCGTCTATGGCAAAGCACCATGCATGCGAGCAAATATGACTCAACATTTGCTTTAAGACAATAACATCAAATTCTGGGGAAATGACACTTGGCCCGGAAACTTGCCTGATCTAAATGTGGCTGAACATATTAGAACAGTAATTAAAAATGAAGTTGAAAAAAAAAATGCTATCAGAAACGAAACATGATCGTTATCGAGGAGAAACTTTGAAGAAACACATTTCAGAAAAATATGGACACGGATATTGAATTATTTGAAACTCTCTTATGTTCGTATCCGTCACGTCTTCGTGCTGTAAAGAATGCTAACGGTCGTCATACTGATTTTTGATTATATTCACTGAACTTTAATAAAAATAAAAATTTCTTTGTCATATGTCAACATTTGAAAACAGATCTAGTTTAAATTGTCTCATAACTCTGATTTTGTGCGACAATACAGCATAGTATTTCTGAAAATTGCTTCAATTTAATATAGAAAAGTTTCCATATCCCTCACTATTAAGTACTGCTAAATCCCGTTTTTGACGCGCTTTAATTTGGTATAAAATTTGTTATGATTGCTATTTGAAATCATAGCGTTACCCCCCTGGAATAATATTTTTTCCCACCTAGTACTGTGCGAAATTTAAAAAAAAGAAGCAAACATACTCTGTGTTTGCTTTTTTTTGATTGACTGCTCTTTGGCTCCATTACGACTACCCAGACTGATTTCTTTTCTTTTCGTTTCTGAGTCACTCGTCTAACCAATAACATTTACAGATGGAGACTTTTAATTATATAATACTTCCATTTTCTCCAGAGATAAGCGCCATCTATTAACAGTACTATGGATAGATTAAAGCACGACAGTCACGAAAATATAGTACAGTTAATACAGTGTTGAGAGTAGAGGCAAACAAAGAAAAAACGCTGCTCGTATAATCACGAATGTACTATATAAATGAACCCTAAGATCGTACACAAATGACGTCCTGATGAACACAATACGTCTTT